TCAGCAACAGAATATGAAGAACGTTTGACTTTTGGCATTATGTGGGGAAAAAATGAATTAAAACTTAACACAAATGATGAAATAAGGAAACAGAATGTAACACAAACAAAATCTCTCGAATATAAGCAACACCTACAGTTTTGTTGACTAAAATGCATTAAAATGGTGTTGCTTATATTCGAGAGAATACGGTAATAATATTTTGTTTCCTTATTTTGATATGAATAAAAAGTACTACTCTTAAAATCTCATCTTTTTTTTTCGATCATATTATCAAATTTCATCCTTTTTATTGTCATGTTATCTGAGAAAGGTAAATACCTTTTTTTTGTAGCCCACTCTTCTTCCAATCATTGATTCAATAAATTTAATTGCTGATTTTCATTGTGTAAACTTAGTGCCAATTACTTCTTTCTTATTAAGCCAAAATACGTTCCAATTGTCTTTTAGGTCAGTTAGTACACCAATAGCAGAAATATGATTTGGAGTGATTATATCTGCGACTATCATCTGCATTACTACTTGATACACATCGACTGGTTGCACTTGCTTTTTCTAGTAAATATTTCAAAAAAAAATACTGATAGGTAAGAGATCGCAACATTTAGAATAAACTCAACACAAATATACCTTACCAATTCAATTACACTTCGAATTCCAGTTTGGGGAAGAGTTTCAGCTGCAGTCTCAAACAAAATAACATCTGTGCCACCAGATAAATTAAATGGTAAACGAGAGTCATTATATAATTGAAGAAATGTCTTATTTGTTGCAACATCAAGGATCAAAATTTGTGGTAATAAGTTGATATGCCTTTTGAGATAAGACATATAATTTTTACGTTGTGTTTCATGACTTTCAGGATAATCACTCCAAACATATTCCTCGATGTCAACAGTTTCATCTAATGAGTCATTAATAATCCATTTTATTTTGACATCAGTTTTGAGAGAAAATGCTTGCCAATTAGTTGTATTAAAGGAAGACAAGGGAATAGTTTCTATTTTTTTTACAACAACTTTTTCATGGATTTCTTTGATTTGGTGAACGACCTCATTAGTAAGAAAAAACTGATTATCTGCAAGAAAAAAGTGCAAGTTATTTAAAACTACAATTTTAGGTACAATATGTTATCAAACTCTATGTACCTTCTTTATCTGTTTTTTCTTTCTCTAAGTTTATTATTGTTTTTTTTAGTTTTGATATTTTTCTTTCTAGACATTCTAATTTGTTTTTCCAATTCTAAAGAGAATATATGTAAAAAAATTTTTGAATAAATACATTTATAATATTAATCACTATTGAAATAAATACCTTGTCATCTTTGACTTCTTTGATATTTTCTTTATTATTATGCTGATTTTTCTCCCTATTTTTTTATATTTATTAATTAGTGTGATGACGAGTGGTGACATCCACCACCATTCTTATGATAAACACTTATCCAGCGACATCTTTCCATCTGGTTTCTACTTTTCTTTTATTATTACTTTTACTTCGATCATTTGGCATTTTAACGTATAATTAATTTTGTTGACAATGTTTTGCGAATTCCTTAATAAAAGTTTAGTCATTTATCAATTTCCTATTATATCACATTTTAGAGAAAGAAAACAAGCGAAAGAATTAACTCTGTTATTTGATGAAAATGATGTGATTAAATATCTATACACAATATATTACCCATTAAACGAATCAATTAAAAGATATGTTCCAGAGATTGACAAATATGATATTTTGTATATTAACAATAGCAAATTTTATATGAATGATTTTAGTCAATATTAGTGATCACAATCATCATATTCATGAATACTCATTAAGGGGGTTACACTTATCAAAAATCCAAAAATCCCTTAAAATTATGTGTCAATCACTTGATTTTGATAAGTGTAACCCCCTTAATGAATATTCATGAATATGATGATTGTGTTCACTAGTTGATATCTTAGAAGAGAAATACTTCAATTTGTCGATTTTTACACATTTTTGCCCCAGACCAACATATAGATTTTTATCTACTTCTCTCACATATCACGAATTAAGAATGGTGGTGGTGGTTATTGCCATCACTCGTCACTCTAGTTATTATTTAAGAAATGTTGTAGTTTACTAAGATTTCAAATTTTTATCAGACCATCCTTGTCTTCATCCTTGTCTTCGTAAGTATAGCCAGAGTATAAAAAAATTGTAGAATATGTTTCTGACTCATTTATTTTGGTTTATTTCTTATTTTTAGTGAAGAATTATTGACTTCTGACATGTCATACCAAAATGTTGAAGTAATTATAGAAATTCTTGATTATACAAGATTGAAACTATAATATTCTAATTGACATTTATTATTTCTAAATCTAAAAAGTTCAATGCTGCAGCAAAAGAAGAATTTAAAGAAAAATTTCTAAATTTGAAAGAAAAATGGAAATTGCCATCTGGGAAGTATGTAGAAAATATAATCTATATATAAACATGCAAAAAGTCTAAATTTTGAAAGGTGAGTATTAAAAAAATCTGATTTATGCATTGAATTCGTTATAATCACAATCTGACTATAAAGTTATATATTTTCAGTTATCTTCACAGCTTCATTCTTGACACGAGTGATAAAACAGTTATGAATTTATTCAACAATTCTGATAGGCTACATATTAAATCTAGTAATCTTTTCCCAGAACCTGAATTAAATGATGATATCATGGACTTTCTGGTTAGATATAGAAAGGCAATTATTAAGATTTTACTATTTAATTACTATCTTACCAAATTATTATATTAAATTGTATTTGTGCCTTCCAGAAAACTCCACAAGATTTGAGAAAGATAGTTAACAATGGCATTAATTTAACTACCTACAATCCAAAAAATGATTTTGATAAGCACTACATACATGGAGTATTTTCAAATTTGTGAGTAATTAATAACACTGATAGAATACAAAAATTTATCAATACCTCATTTATCATAAAATTATGATCAATGTTGAAATTTTGTCACAAATCTTTGGAAAAAAAATTTTTTTTGATCAGATAATTTCCAAAATTTTATGAAATGTTATTATTATATTCTAATTGAATTGTGTGTACATATTTTAACATCAACTTAACCAAGAATTTATTGTTGCTATTAGATTGCCACGTTATGAGTTAAGACTAGGCAATTTTATAGAACCACATTTGGAGGTTTAAGACTAACATTTGGAGTACTATTGTTGATAACTGTTTTATAGATGTTGAGGATCTAGAATTAATACAGTAAGCAGTACTATTCACATTTTATAAATGTTGATTTTGCAGGCCTATTAAATATATGAAAATTCTCTTTTAGGGGAGAAGGTTGCTCTCGTGCTTCAGGACAAATGATGAATGCTAAAAGAAAAAGCCCCAAAAAAAGAAAGAAGATGGGTAGGAAATGTGATGGAATTCTTCGTGAAAGAGGTGCATCTAATGAGTATGCCGTGATTGAAGAAGGAAAAGAATGGGATGGCAAAGATGGAACTAAATATTTGGCAGATGGATCTATAAAGTTACCTAAAGTGATGCATGACATAATGATTCAAAAAATAAAAAATCATAAATTAAGCTTTGTCAAGACACACCATCTGGAGGTTCTGGGATCTCTTCATTTTGGTAATGTAGCCTTAATCAGTGTATAAAATTTGCCAATCAATTTTTGTGCATGTTGTACAAAATTTTTTGCAAAAGTTGTTTAAAAATTGTGCATGTATGCACAAAAAATTGTAAGTAGTTTAGTTTTTTTGATTTTTTATGTAGAAAAATGTAATAATGCAAAAATTTCTCATTGAATTTGTGTACTATATTTAAAATTTTTGTTGTGAGTCTGCACAAAAATATTTATCTCATTGTGCACAGTTTAAGGGGTTGTGCACTGTGCACACCATGCACATGAATTTTATACATTGGCCTTAATATCATATATGTTTCTTTTATTAAACTATACTCATTTCCATTATTGTTCCAGGTCTTCTACATCAGCATTTAGTAATGGATATACCTTCAGGCAGTGTTTGCAGGCTTCGTAGATATCCCATTACAAAAGTTCCAACAAGTTTGGCTGATGTGGATGAACTAATTAAAATGATACACAGCATGTTAATTGCTAAGGTATGTATAATATGTTGCATCATGTTATCAATAGTAATAACATATAGTTAATATCATTTACCTTCTATTTAGTTATGTCTTAGAAGATGTTTAGAATTAACAAGTGAAAAAAAGAATTGTAGTGATCAAGATTTGAAAAAATGATTAAGAGATAGAAAAGAAATAAATATAGTGCAAGTCACTTAGTCCCACAACTTTCTGCGCCACACCGCCAATTTTGGGAAAAATTCCCAATCAAAAAT